AACTCATTTATTTTGGGTTGTTGAATCCCAACTAACTCTGCTTCATCTTTACTTTCTCTCTCTAGAAATTGTAAAAAACTTGTTGTAAGAACTTTAAGTATATTACAAGTGTCGACCTCGTACGAGAGGCCGACCTCGTGATCGTTTAATAAAATCGTGATTAAACCAGACCATTCTCCCATTTTTCAATCTTACTTTCGACATTCTTAATCTTTAACCGTTGACCGAAAACGCTCGTCAACAGATATAATAGTCACTTAGTGTCTGACTATATAAAATTACAACGAATTAAAGGATTATATTAGTAAAAGTGATATTAAAATAACTAAGTTAGCAAAATAATATTTATGGAATGTCGGAACCTAGATTATTAATATTAATATATCAATATTATTTGTCTAAACCTAATAATGAAGCATGATTCTTTGCCAAATAAAATTCCGAAGCATAAAAAACAGCCACGTAGGCTCAATACATCGAGGAATCTCATATAAGGAGGATAATAAAGTGGATTGTGCATCTATATCACTAGTATCAGTATTAATTTCGGTAATAAAAAAAATTGGAGGAAAAAATAAAAAAATAAAAAAAATACAGTCTGGTCCGTATGGGGTAACACGGACGGAATATCTAAGCAAATCTTTAATGGGCCCCACAAACATATTCCCTACGCCTTTCCTCACATTTGGACTTTTGCCACCAACCCAATTTCTCGCGATAAACACTAGTTTCATCGATTTTCTCGCGTTTTTTTTCTGTCTCGTTTTTCTAATTAATTAATGTGAGGTGGTCGACTGTGGATGGGGTGGGCCGAATAAGAAGAAAATATGGGCTTTATAGGTCGCCCATATTGTGCATTGTAGGCCCAAATATTAAGGACGCTAAAAAAAATAATTCTCGCCAAAAATTAAGGAGTAGCTGAAAAAATTCTCCCCAAAAAATTATTGTAAAAAATTCTCGCCAACCTTCTATATATAACAAGTAAATCATACTATATAAGTAAATTATTAGTATTTATTTAAATAATTAGAAAATATGGTAGATTTACTTGTTGTATATAGAAGGTTGGCTCCACTATGGAGCCAACTGTTGGCTTCATAGCAAAACCGGTGGTTAATTGTTGATTTGTTTAAATAACATTTATAGATTCTACTTGATGATTATTTAATCACGAATTTTTTGTATGAGACTGCCTAACCATTAGGCATGTTGAATGGTCGTACATTTATAAAAAAAATTATTTTTATATCATGAAATGTCACATTTTTTTGTTTGTATTGTTTTTCAGAGTTACATTTTAGTATGAGAATTTTTTGTATGAGACTGACCATTAGGCGTGTCGAGTTGTCGCACATTTATAACAAAAAAATAATTTTATATTATGAAATATCATATCTTTTGTTTATATAGTTTTTCATAGTATTACATTTTAGTTCAAAAACTATTCACATCTATTAAAGAACTATATATATTTAACTGTTAGAACTGCCGAATAGTAGCTTTTCGAAATTCATTTTTAACAATTGATTAAGTTATAATGATAACTAATAATTCACAACTGATGGTTGTGTATATATACAGTGCACATTTATGTCATGTAAATAGATTAATTATGTACAAAATACTTCTTTTAAATATAATAATATATAAAACGTTTGTCATATATAATATAAAATTACAAAACAAGGTGCTCGTGTTCATTTAAACTTAGATTCATATATAATTTATTGTGAATTAAATTTCATAGCGTGTGACAATTCGATAGTTCCATAACAAAATTAAAATAACTATATAGAATAATTATTCTCATCAGAAAATTGGAATCGAGGAAGAAAAAATGAAGTAAAAAAAAAAAAAATATATATATATATATATGTATATATATATATATAATATTGAAAATGTGTTCGTGGCCGTCTACTTTCTTTACTTTGTTTTTTCCCCTTCTTTCTTCTAGAACAACTTTATTTGTTCTATCCGAGTCTAATCCATAGCGGGCTATTTTTGACTTTCTTGGCCGCCACTTGAATCAATTAGGATAAATTTTTCAACATTTAT